GGTCAATGTTGGTCCAGTCAAAAATGCAATCCCATTTAATAGGATTTGAGTCCTGGGCAGACATCCAGACCTCTGCTAGAAGTATTTTCTGGTGATATACACTCTGGGTCACAAAGCAGGGAAAACTCTACCAAGGGTCATAATGGAAAATTCTAGTTGAGGTCTATTCTTTACACTGCAACCTTCATTTTAATTTTTGTGCTGATGTCCCCCCATTTTATTCCTCCACTTCTGAACTCAACCTCTGCATGCCCCCTGCCCAATTCCCAAATGTCTTTACACCATATCTTAATAGACATTTGGGTTACTTTATTAATACATCCAGAAATGAAGTTATTTTTCCTTCCTACTTTTTTCTCTTTCCTCAGCAGCTGATAATATTCTTCTTCTCTCTCCACAACCTGAACACAGCCTGGGGATTGTCAGACTCTTCTTTTTCATTTCAGATTTAGTCCATCTTTTGCTAAATCTTGCTGCTATCAGCTTCTTCAGATCTATCAAAGTGCTCAACAATTTCCCCATTATTTCCCACCTGTACTACTATTAGAGGTTTGCTTCTTATTTTCTCAGCCCTTCATCTCAAATTTTATTCTGAGCCTCTGGTGTACAGTTGATCTTTTTGGTTTACGACTGCAATCATTACGTGATGTAGTGATTACAGTATTGCACTTACTCATTTGGAACACTTGCTTTGCTCCTCTCCAGATCTGCCTAAGTTAGCTTACAACAACAAAACAGTAAAAACAAGTCATATCAATTTAAAAAATCCTACACGGCAAAAAAAAAAAAAAAAGCCTTGCCAATAAAAGCAACCCAGGGAATAACAGCACATAAAATGGAACTGTCTATAAAATGATAATGATAAAATGGTCCCTAGGCTAGGAGAAAACCATAAAACATCTCAAAAGAGCCTGGGCCAAAAAAAAAAAAGTACCAGGTGAGCCTATATAGGAAGAGCTTTCCAAAAGCAAGGTGCGACCACCACAAAAAGCCCTGTCTCTGGTCTCTGGTCACTGCTTGCCTTACTTCTACAGGCAGGTGCACAGAAAGCAGGGCTTGAGAAGAGGATCTTAACTGGCAGGCTGCATAATATGGGAGGAGACTTGGGAGACCTGAGTTCAAATCATGCAACTGGTTAAGTGCCCTTGGATATAATCTGCCCCGAACGGTTGTTGTGGCAAAGACTGGAGAAGGGGAGAACCATATACGCTACACTGAGTTCATAAGAAAATAGGAGAAGCCAATGTTGGATCAGGCCAGTGGCCCATCCAGTCTAACACTCCGTCATACAGTGGCCAAAAATACCAGGTGACATCAGGAGGTCCAGCAGTGGGGCCAGGACACTAGAAGCCCTCCCACTGTTGCCCCCCCCCCCCAAATCCTTAGAGCACTGTAAAAAACAGGTGAAGGAGTCAGTCTTGCCCCAAATCACACGAAACAGTCATAATTTTAAGTGAAGGAGTCAGTCTTGCCCCAAGTCACATGAAAATGGGAAGAAATTGGGCCTGTGTTTCAGTGCCAAGCTACATTTATTTACTGTATTTACAGTTGACCTTTCTTGCTGAGATTCCAGGGAGATTTTTTTAAAAAATCAATAAAACAATGTAAACAATGCAATAAGACTGGATCACAAAATTGGAAACGAATGCAGTAAAAACAAGACACAAAATAACCAGTGCAACCTTACTCCCTTTATAAAAGTGTGCTGCTGAACAACTCCCTTTTACACGTTCTGGGGAATGATAGTAGTGTGGGAGTACATTACAGTAGACTAGGCCTCAAGGTGACCATGGCATGGATTCATGTGATCAGATCAAAAGTGTCAGAGTAGGGAGCCATCTTCTGAATAGTGAAAGAAGAAGAAAGCATTATTCACAGCTGCATTTTATATGATCCATAATCAGGTCTCATAGCATTTTCCTTAATGATGTGAGGTCTGGCAGGTGAAGCAATTTGGACTGAGGCCATGGTTAATCCTTTCCCCTGACTACTATTTCCATGATAGAAATTATCCCCAGAACTGCCATTAGGGATGATAGTGGGGGAAAATGACAGGTACACTTTTTTCCTTACTACAGGAGATCCAACAGGAGATTTCTAACAGGTCCACAATCAAGAAATAAAGAGTTAAAAGCCCTCACCCCAGGGCTGCAGATCCGATCCAATCCAAATTCCCCCCGTGTTTGTGTGGTCTCAATGGTACAACCAAACCCAATGTTCTATTTACTGCACAACTGACGAAAAACTAAGAATTTCTCTGGCAGTGCACAGAAGCAAAAATTCATGTGCAGAATACAACAGACAGCTATATGAGTAAATCAGAGATTACAAAAATAATATTCTGCAGATTGGGGTGGGGGGGAGTGTCCAGAAATAAGTCTGCCAGCTCCTTGACCAAAGGTGGCGCATGGGCCTCTAATAGTGAATGGCAAGGAGAGGGTCACCACCTTCTCTCAGTGCACTGAAAGTTATAGGGTGATTTGTCTGTCCCCTTCTGTTGCCATCTTCCACCAGCGGGTGAAGCCTTTTTTGTTTAATTTCACATTCCCTCAGTGAACCCCCTTCTCTGCCCGAGATTTTAATTGTTGTTTTTGCATGTATTC